TAGACTTCCCTTTTCTCATCCCATGCCAGCGAGGTCCCTTTTCCTAGCAGGAAAATTTGGAGGTGGTAGAAGGAAGGGGGGGGTAGGGTGAGACAGGTAGTTAGCTTGCCAGGGTCCTGAGACTAGAGAAAGGTTGGAAGGCTCTATCTCTTGCTATTTTCATGGTCGGTCCGACGACCTTTCATCTTTTGCCTAGGGTCCCTTATGTATGCAATGCAATTTCCAATTCTCAAGCAAACATTCAATTTCATGCTCTTTCCAAGTCTTTCACAAGGCTGATTCTCATGGCTGATCCGGCAGCCTCTTTCAATCAAAGGCAGCCTTCTCTTCTCGTGGTTGATCCATCTGCCGCTTTCCTTTTCTCATGGCTGGCCCGACAACCTTCCTTCTCAACTCATCTTGTTTCAATGACCGTCCCGACGATCTCTTTCCCAACTTCTTTTTCTCAATCTCTTTATTTCGATGGCCGAGCCGACGGCCTCTTTCTCAAGTCCTCCGCTTCAATGATTGTTCCGACGGTCTTTTTTCCAACTTCCCTTTTCAATGGTCGACCTAACAACCTTCTTCTCAATATGTCCATTTCAATGATCGGCCCGACAACCCTTTCTCAATATGTCCATTCCAATGACCGACCCGACGGCCCTTTCTCAATACGTCCAATTCAATGGGCGACCCGACGGCCCTTTTCTTACTCATTCGTAAGGCAGAAAATCCACAGATAGTCATGCAAAGGGACCCCAGTGCCCATTTCCAAAGAGGCAACCCTTGTTAGGGGTCATCGCCGAACAACCTGGTTAGGGTCGTTCTTCTTTTCCAATCTCATCCTTGAACAGCCTGGTTAGGGTCATTCCTGTTCCAAATCTCATCCTTAAATAGTCTGGTTAGGGTCATTCCTTTTCCAAGTCTGATCTTTGAACAGCCTGGTTAGGGCCATTCCTTTTCCAAATCTGATCTTTGAACAGCCTGGTTAGGGCCGTTCCTTTTCCAATTCCAGTATTGACGCCCAAGGGGATGGGCTTTGGAGGCTCGGATCCGAATATCCCTTGGGGGTTAGGTGGTGGCCATCAGTTTTCTGCGTGCTATCTCTTCAAATTTTCCTTATGAAAGTTTTTTGCTTGTCCCTTTTCGTTCGCATGCATCCGACTTAACATCTAGTGTGCAGGCGGAAACATCCAACCTTCGGCAACGCTAGCCCGCCCGACCGTTCAACCATAGACCCAGTGTCTCACATACTTTGCTCGTTTCACTTTCATGACTTGCAACATGGCGTTGACTCGGTTGGGATAGGCTCCTAGGGGAAAGCATTGTCATATCGTTCTACCCATAGGTTCCCTAACCTCTTTGACAATGTACAACCTGATCCTCACACATGTGAACATACATTTTCTTTTGAACCTATAGTCTTTGTAACCGATCCCACGTCAAGTCTCATGTCCATCCATTACAACCAGTCTCATGGCTCCCGAGAACAAAAATACCTTTACTTAGAGAAACAACACTCGGTGCTCTTGTCTTAATCGATTTCCCGTCCAGCCTTACAAAATTGAAATCGAAAAGTAGCTTCATACAAAAAGTTGCTCTTTCCCTCTTATCTCATCCCACCCCGTGCTTGTTGACAAGTTCCAATCTAGCAGATGTCTCTACATACCACGGCTTGGCATACTTGTCCCAACCGGTCCCTTTCAAAAGTTCCTTTAGCAGAATCTCAGCAAAAAGAAAGAAAGTCCAGTTCATCTAGTCTACAAATCTCATGCCTTTCACGACCCAACCGACTATCCCAATTATGGTCGCCCTTTGCTCTTGCCATCGCGTTCCCTTGCCAACCCATCCTTAATCCCTAGCACTTGAATTTGTCGTTTGGCGTTTAGCCCCTTTCTCGCTGCTGTCCCTCGAGGGTGGCTCCATGCCCAACCCATAAGTCTGAATCTCATCCCTTTTTTCCTTTGCCAACTGCAGATCCTTTTCAGTAAAAAAGTCCAACGGCGTAGGTGTTCTCCCGACCGCCATCAACTTTTGTGCTTTAATCATCCGCTCGTGCTTAACCACACTTGCCCATTGCTCAAACCAGTGACTGGCGTTGGCCCAAATTCTTCTTCCCAATTGGTGGCTCCTTTATCCGGGCTTTTTGCCGGAGACTGCCTTTGCTCCCTTGGCCTAGATATCTCATCCGTCTCGTCCTCACTGCTTATTGCAATGAATTCCTGAATGTCATCTTCCGGATCACCGTCCTCTCCTTCCTGCCTTTCCTCGTCATGATTGGTTTGCTTAGTTTTTTCCCCCTTTCCCTCCATTCCCTGTTCATCCTCCTCTTCTGACCAGGCGGGTTGTACCTCGCCTTCCTTGGTAGGCGAGGGCTTACAGGCAGACAACTTCCTCTTTCTTTTCCCTAGTGGTGCTCTTGGCTGTGGCCCAATAACCAGCATCGGTCTTTGTCTATCTCGCGGTCTGTCTGGCTGCCTCCACGGATCCTCACAAGCGGTGTTTGCCCGGTTAATGTCATTCTCGTTATTGAACTCCATCTTGCTTGGGCTGTCTTTTGTGCCTGTAATCAATATCAACAGAGGAAAAGGAAAGGCCCCAATGCACCCCCATTATGGAGCCCTCCCCAAGTCCAATCCTGTCTCATCCTTATGGCCACCCGGTTCCCCAAACACGTGGTCCCATCCCAAGTCTTGGTCACGTGTGCCCCCAAGCCTCGTATCCCATTGGGTAGTCACGGCATCTTGCCCTCAGAGATCTCCTCGTGCCCACCCTTATGATACAATGCCCAGCCCTTGGCATCCATCCCCAGTGTCCCCACAAAAACTATGGTACAGTGTCCCAACTGGATCTCATGTCCTTCCCATGCACACACGTACGAAAGAAAGGAAAACAACAAAGGCAAAGAGAAACGCATGTGATAAGTAGAATCCTTGTCGCCGTACTGAGCAACCTATTATTTTGCTTCCTTGTCCTGAGCTTCTTGTAGCCATTGCTCCACCGGATCCCTGCTGAGGAATTTGACCAGCCGCTGCGCAGAGAACGACCTTTTTATGCTGGTCCCATCCAAGTCCTCAACCTCAAAGGTGTTCATTCCCATCCTCTTAGTAACACGATAGGGCCCCTTGAATCTTCGCCCTAGCTGTCCTGACCATGTGCTTTCTAGTGCCGAATTCCTGACCAAAACCATTTCCCCCACTTGCAATGGTTCCTTCCTGATATTCTTCAGTTGGTTCCACCTGGTCTTATCCTTCATCCGACTATCGAAGACCCTGTTCACAATTTCTTCCAAGGCTTCCTCATTTTTAACCGCCTGCTCGCATCTAGCCTCGATCAATTGTTTCGTAGTCAGGAGAGGGTCCTCCTCCAGTTTGTTCCATGTGGGTACTAAGGTTTCTATCGGGAAGTCGATTTCCCTTCCATACCATAATTCTGTCGGGACACATCCCGTGGTCCTCTTAGGAGTCACGTTCTCAGCGAACACAACTTGCCTGAGGTACTTGGGCCAATTCCCGAGGTCGTCTGCTGCCAGCTTCGCAATCGTGTTCTTGAGCGTCTGGTGCCCTCTTTCTACCGGAGTGTTAGCCTCCGGGTGGTATGGTTCAATCAGCTTGAGGGGCATCCCTAGCCTCTTGCAGGTGTTCAGGACGTCTTGATTTACGAACTCAGTCCCATTGTCAGCTATAAACCTCCTGATGAACGGGTGCCTCAGGTAGAAATCTTCAACCCAATCGACCACTGCCAACCCTGTTTTCTTCTTTAATGCCACGGCCTCTACAAACCCGCTAAGGTTGTCCCTAGCATCGAGTATGTACCTGTACCCCTTTGTCGATACTGGCATAACTGCCAGATCGAGGTGCACCATATGCCCTGGCCCCAGCACTCGCGTGGGCCTGAGTGGCCCAAACACCCGTGTCGTACTCCGCTCCTGGCAGATTCGGCAGGTCTGACAATATATGGCAACCATGGAGCCCATTCCCGACCAGTAGTAGAGTGGTGTTATTTTGGCCAGGGTACCCTTTGAGGACCGATGCCCACCGGCCAACTCATCATGCATCGCCTGTATTATGTCTACCTGTCTCGTCCTCCCGCATACTACTCTCCTGGGTGTCAAGCCCTCCTCTTTCCGGAACAAGTGCCCTCTCCTTAGCACATACTTGTCTGCCTCTTCCCTAGCTTTAGGACTGACTTCGTGACCATCCTTGTTTCCTACCAACAGCACCCCACTCTCCCTAAAAATACCATCGTACGACTTGATGAAAAAGAACTCCTGCTCCTGCCGGAAGTCCGGCTGAGCGTCGCACATTTGGCTAACCGCGTACTGTTGCTTTCCCTGTTCCCCCCTTCTCTAACGCTTTGATCAACAATTCTCCGGACATGCAGGCGGTCCCAGCCATCTCATTATCCACCACCAGAGTCTCTCCCACGTGATCGAGGAATGAATCGATCGGCTCTGCTTCTTCTAGTCCCTCCGGCGTAAGGCTCACCCTGCTCAGGCCGTCTGCTCGATTCCTAAGACCAGCTATACGCTCAATCTCGTAGTCAAATTGCCAAATGAACCCTACCCCTCTCCCCGGGTGGGATCGATAGGCCTATAGTTCTTTAAGGCTCCCGCGACATTGGTCGGATCTATCCTCAAGATGAACCTTCTCCCAAAGAGATACGCCTGGAAGGTCTTGAGGCAGTGGAGTATCGCAAGCACCTCCTTCTTGAACTGAGAATAGCGACGCTCGACTGAGTTGAGCGTTCTACTCTCGAATTTAATGGGACGCTCTCTCCCATCTTCGCCTTTTTGGATCAATACCCCACCTACGGCTAACGGTCCCCCATCGTTTTCAAGCACGAAGCGGTGTCCTACTTCGTCATTGAAGCACGGGGCGGCAAGGGTAACTTCTTCGGATGTCAGTATCTTCTTCAAGGTCTGGACGGCCGCCTCCCGGTCCTCGGTCCAGTCAAGCGTGCCTTCCTCGCGGATCATGGCCTGAATAGGTTCTGCTATCTTTGCGAACCCCTTATAAAGATTCTCCAGAAGCCTACGACGCCCAGGAAGGCCCTCACTTCTGTTGTGGTTCGGAGGGGTGTAGGCCATTGAGCAATTTTGTCAGTCTGGCTGGGTCCGGCTTCCTTCCGTATGCTCCACAACGGAACCCCAGAATGGTGACTTCCGGAACTGTCAAGATACTCTTTGGGTCGCTAGCAGTTATATTATTCTCTAGGAACCTCTGGAGCAGCTCTTTGATATCCTGTAGGTGGTCCCACACAAATTTTCTCACTCTCGGCTGAACCTCTGTCTCATCCTTTTCACATGGCCCTTTTACGGGATTGTCATCGATATAGGGCTCACACCTCGTAGGAAACATGTTCCCTGCGATCGCAAGCATCCTCCTTTACGCTTCTGCTACTGCGTTGGTAAAACCTATGGGCGTGACCTGCATTTGCAACTGGCCTACCGGCGTATGCATAGCCGTGTAAGGTCTGTCTCGGGAATCCTGCGGAAGCTGATCGTACCCCGAATACAGATCTATCAACGAGTAAATGCTACGTCCGACATGGGATTCAGCCAGGAGGTCCGCTTGGGGTAGCGACCCCTGGTGCCTTTGCCTCGGGCCTCTTCTCGCTTTGGCAGGCTCGCTCCCAGTTCCACTTCTGTTTCCTTTTCCACTACCATAACTCGTAGGGCATCTTCATCCGGCCTCCGCTTTTTCTGTGGAAGCCCCATCTTGACCCACTCCTTCTTGCTGAACGCCTCTTCTATCATTATTTTCACCCTCTCTCTCATTCCTTCCATTCGTGCGAAAGCCCCCTTTCTAGCGCTTTCCTCGAAGGAAGGCGACCAGGTTGCCAATTTCCCTTTGGGCGTGTCTCCCCCAGTTCCGATGAGGCGGAGCAACTTGCCGCGTCTCGTTACTGGGTCCTCTATGTCCACCATATATGCCCCATCATGGAGATGCACGCCTATCATTTCCACATTTGAACACCAAGGTATTCCGAGGATTATGTCATGGTCTATTTCGTCCATGAAGGTCATCCGTTGGAACAACCATATAGACTCCCTGACCCCGGCTTTGACCGCGCATTTGGTGACATACCCGGAAAAGGGGATTTCCCCGCCAGCTCCCCGGACACTTTCGGTAGTTTCCCTGTTTATTGGGCACCCGACAATCGTCGCGAAGTCCTTTCGTATGAGTGTGATCTCAGCCCCGCCATCTACTAGCGCATCCGTATGGTGGCAACCGATCTGAACCCGTAGCTTGCCTACCGGTAATGCGTGAAAGCTTAACTTCGTACCGGGAGGGGCCCTCATGACTTCGCCTCCCTCTTGATCTGGCAGGCTCAGCCGAATATCCGCAAAGGCTTTTTCCAAATCCTCTAGGTCGTCGGGGACCCTCTTGGAAGTTTGCGACTTCTTGCGATGCTTCTTTTTGCTTCTCTTCTTCCCGGTGCCCCGGTTCCTCCTCTACTTCGACCCTTTGCCTTGTTTATAGGTGCCCGAGTCCCTTCAGAAGTCTAGGGCTAGCCTGTAACATCGTCTGGAATGATACCGACACAATGGTCCCTAGCAATTTACTAAGGGTGTCATCGATCTCCGGCGTGGCGAGGATGGGTATCTGGTACCGAAACTTCTTTTTTGCCGTTGTTGCCTTATCGACGGGGGTCTCATCCCTAGGTTTCCCATAGGCTTTGTCCTGGTCCGACTCTGTTACTCCTGGTGACATACTCGGTCCTTCCTGCGCATCCTCCATGATCGCATCCTGCACGACCTTTTTGCGGCGGTCTGTTGCCTAGTGGTCACGTTAACCTTATCCCGTCCATCGCTTTCCATGATGAAATTGGCCTGGGGCCCTCGTCCCTGCGCCTGCCCCCAAGTGAGTTCCGCCACAGGCTCAGCTTCCTCTACAGCGGCGTCTAGGTTGTTGAATGCAATCACGGTCTGACGCATTCCTCCTGGCGAATTCCAATTTATTTTCTCCCCCCGAGGTCCTAAACTTTCTCCGCGCAGGGTCCTGGAGCACCGTTTAAGCATGATATCATGGTTAAGCCTCGGGCACGTCCGTACAAAGTGTCCGATCAGCGTGCAATATTTGGACTGCTCGTTGGTTGGGTCCCTTCGTTTGTTCCCACGGTTGGCTATACCTGCGGGCGCGATCGCTTCTTGAGGCGGGAGAGGAGGCTGTACTGCCTGGCTCTGCGGAACCTGGGCTTGCATTACCATCAGGGCGTTCTTTACTCTCTCAATTTTCCCGTCTACCCCATGAACGCGGTCATGCAGACTCTCGATCCCTCTCTTTACCTTATCACCCGTCTTGCCCGTTAGGTCTATGACTTTCCCTTCTTTTAACAGGGTCAGCGAGTCGGTTACGACCATTTTCTCCGCAATGTCGGTTATCGTGCTGAAGTCAACATCCCTTGTGTTCAGGAATTTTGTGGTTTGCTGGTAGGCGGACAGGATTTTGTCCTTATCGAACTCTGTGAACTGTCTTAGGAAATACTTGCTCTTTATTCGATTGGTCACCCCGGGGATGCGCAGCGCTACGAGAGTAAACTCTCTCAGGAAGTCATTGTACGTTGCGAAGTCCTTTCTTTGCACAGCGGCCAATTCTGCTTCCGTGGCCATCTTCTCGGCTGCCAAGTACTTTCTCATCATCACGTCCCGAGCCTCCTTCCACGACGCACTCATGGCGACGATCGCCATTATGTCCCTCCCTAGGTTCAACGACACGTGCTGCCCTAAGTGCTCCATCTTCTCTTCCTCGCTCCACCTCAGGAGTGCCGCCAGGTTCTCATAATCTATCAGGAACTTAGTGATATTTGCTCCGTTAAAGGTCAGTTTCTTCTTAGCGTCGGACAAGTATCCCTGTTTTTTGCTTAACGCGCGGGTGAGAGATGACACAACTTTCCTAGGCCCTCCTTCGACCATTCCTGACCCTGTCGCCGATCCGGCCCCCAAATCTTCCTTGCTTGTGTCTGGTCTTCCTTTCGTCCTCGCAGTCCCCTCCGGATCAAACCACCCCAGCACTCTCTCCCTCAGACTCCGGAGTCCCTCGCACCCCCTAGCAATTGCTGGGGACGCCGAAGGTCGGCTCGCGCCACTATCCAAGAGAGGCGGGTTGGTAGGTCTCTCTACGTCCCTTCTAGGAGAGTCCGCTTTTTCCTTCTCTTTCCTCGTTGGGGTCCCCCTGGGATCCTTCCTCTGCTGTGCGTCCGCATCCTGGCCCTCTTTCCCTTGACTTGCCTCCTCTTCCTCTCGTATCCTTCCGTCAGCCGAGTTCCTCTCGCTCTCGTTCATTATTTCTTCCAGTAATTTTGCCCTTAATTTTGTCGTCCTCCTTTCTATTTCTGCCAGCCTCTTTTGTGTATCTGTCAGTCTTACCTTCTTATGTTCCGCGCCTTCCAGGTGCTGGCGTGTTGGGCTGCCTTTGTCTCTAACCTCCTTAGTTTCCTGGGTTCCTCACTTGCTTCCTCCGCCCTTCCCCAAGCTTCCACCGGGGACGATTTCCTTACTCCCTTCTCTAGCCCCTGGCGACTTCGCTGACTCCCGGTCCCCTAAGGCGTCCTCTTCTCGCTCTACATCTTCGTCTACACCCAGGTTCTTGTCGTCCTGTTGACTTCTGGCACCCTCGCCCGTTGCCATTTCTTTCTCTCTCTAGCCCTATATATGGGGGAAAAAAAAATTGACACGACAGGTAGGTCTCAGCCCTCAGGGTTCCCTTAGCCCCCAGATTCTTTCTCACCCACAATCTCCCCCTTCTCCTCTTGCCACATCATTTTCATGATTTCCTCATTTACTACGAAACTCCACTTATTCCTTCATACCGATTCCAATGGCCCTGGCTGGTGTTCTCGGTCTGCCTCTCCCCTGTTTCGAGGACGGTGCCCTCAAGGTGAGTAGACTTTCCCACCCCTTTGGCCGACCCTCCTCCTTCTTTTGTTCGCCCCTGGCATTTTCTTCGCCCTTTTGGTCGCCGGGTCCATCCTCGTCCTTCCTACCACACCCCTGGTCGAGAAAGGACTCTGGCCGCTGCCTTTTTGCGGGCTCATTAGCCTTATCTCCGCCGTTCCTTTTTAAAGACCTTATCCCTGCGGCCTTTCCTGGTGTTTCGCTCACACCGGCTCCTCAGGCCCGTTCTCTTCGTCTGGCTCTTCGAACATCCTCGCCACTCCCACAAGGTAGTTCTCCCCCATCTCAATTTCCCTAGTGATTATTGGCTCATATTCCTCGAAGGATAGGCGAGGCGCCCCAAATATTAAAATCTCAATGAGCTCAAGCAGTTCACGGGCCCGGTTTCCCCAAAACGGTCTGTGCCTCACTGCCACGTCGTAAAACATCCCTGTCGTTTGCGGTTGGGAGTGGTGGTTCCAGATTACGGTCGAACTCACCAACTCCCTTGCCTGAGAGAGACTTTCGAATATCAAGTCTATCATGAACCGGGGCACCCGGCAGCGCAGGCCGGATGTCGGGGCCTTGAACGCTCGCCATCCCGCTACTTCTACCCACGTCCTTAAGCCCACGTTCCTTCTCCCCCTAACCTTGTGCCCTATCCGGTTTAGTGCCCTGGCCGCTCTCCGAAAAATCGGTAACAACCCATGCCCAAGGGCCAATTCCGTCCCCAACATCTGCCACCCGGTCTCGGGGAGGTACAGAGTCCTGGTCACCCCGAGGTCGGTATACAGATCGCCCCCTGGCCCCCTATTAAATCTCATCCCACTCCACAGGCATTCCACCAACATGAAGGCCTGGTTTTGCCCCAAGATCACAGCTCGCCATTCCACATCTATTCCCCGGACCTCGTAGCTCGCCGAGAGCGACACTTCCCATCCATTGTCGATTTCCAAGGACGGCCGCGGGTGCGCGGGTCGCTGTGCCGTACGGACACGTCTCCTTGCCATTGCCCTGCAAGTTTCCCGCACAGAAAAATAAGAAAAAAATCTCTCTTTTTATTTTCCCCATATCCTCCCCCCTGATATCACAGCCATGTTTCTAGTTTCCTACCAATCTCCCCCTATTTTCCCTTCCTCCTTCCCTGCGCCCCTATTCGTCCACCTCCTCGAATAGTCGGTAGACATCGTCCACATAGGTCAAGTCGCAACCTATCTCGCGCCTAACCACCTCCCACAAAACTTCCTCAGTTATCGTGGCCACTCCTGGCCTGGTTGCTATGACAGCATGTAGGATTCTCAACACCTCATATTCCTGGTCTCCTTCAAAAGGGCCCAGCTCTAAGAAGGCTTAGTAATACTCTTGGCACACCGTCATGTCGCTAAAGTTTAGCCTACTCAAGGTTGCTACCGCCTGCTCAACCTGCTCCGTTCCCCCCAAGCGGCTGAGTAGGAAGGGCGGCAAACTCATATGTACGCTTTTGTGGGGCAAGATGCAAGCCCCCACTTCGAGCACACGAATGGTTGCCGTCACATCATCCCGTTCCGGATCTGCGAACGTGAACCCTTCCCTCCAAGTTACTCGCCACGCCCCGTCGAACATCCGCACGGGGTCGTCGTCGGCGGCCAAGGCCACCCCGAAGGTCCGCCATCCCTCTTCGGATAGGTACAGGGACCCCGTGGCGTGCACATGCCCTGGCAGATCCAGGCTCACTCCCCCGAATTCCCCCCCTGCGCGCCATTCTAGTTCCACCACCAGGTATACCGTATCCTCTACTAGCTCTACCCCCACCCAATCCATCACCGGGTTGTGCACCCCACCTCTGGTTGGCATGGTAACTTCCATCCTTCCTTCCGAGATCCGGGGCGGCTGAATTCCGTGGGGCCGATCCTCCCAGAGCGTCCTTCGCCTGGCCATGTCGCATCGCTTTCCGCTCCTGGTCCCTAACTGCTGCATCCAACACGATTTCACGTTTCTCCTGTTAGTCCTACAACCCCCTCCCGTGCTTCTTAACTGTGCCTGTGCTATCCTTCCTTCCTATGTGTGCAAGCCCCCCCCTTCCATGGCACCCCTAGGCTTACTCTTACATCCAGACCCGTTCAAATAGTAGGAACACATCCCCTACATACGAGGGGGTCACGGCCACCTCCCGGTGGAGTATCGCCTCCTCAACCTCGTCCTCCATCGTAAACCGATCGTCCTTAAGGGCCTCTAGGATCTCAACCACTTCCATGGCGCGGTCCCCGTGGAAGGGCCCTAGTCGTAGCGAGGTCCTATAGTAGGCGTCCGCTAACCAGGTGAACCCCAGATCCACCTCACTCAACGAATCCGCGACCGCCCGGATGTGTTCGTATCCTCCGAACCAATTCGCCACGAAGTGTGGGACCCAAGTCTGAACCAGCTGATACGGTAACCTAAGCTCCTCCCATCCTCCGAGCACGACCCTGCTCCTTACTTCATCCCATCCTTCGTTCGCAAATTCGCCGCCCATTTCCCAGGTCAATCGCTCGGTCTCTCCTAGGATCCATGTCGGGTCCCACCCGGCGGCTAGGCAAACACAAAACATGTGCCACCCCTCCTTTGACAGGTACACGGTCCCGACGGACTCCACATCCCCCTCATCTATCTCATCCCGCGCCTCACTTTCCCTGACCGGGTTCCATACCCTCTCTACCCATAAAAAGGACATAGCGGTTACGACTTCTACCCCTACCCAGTCGCAGGCCGTCCCTCTCCATTCGTTCCTCGTGGGTAGGACCATCTCCACCCCTCCCCCGAACCGCCTAGGTGTCCATCCTCTAAACATCCGTTCCATCATGCTTTGCTCCCTTGCCATCCTTGATCCCCTGCACAGCCCCAATCCACCCACGCCATACAACCCCGAGCCCCTTTCTTTTAGAAATCCCAATCCTCAATCTCTATCCCCTTCTCCTCATCCGAGTCGTCGTCGTCCTCCTCATACCACAGGTCTTGTACCCCTTCCAAAAACGTCTCCCCTATCACGACATTCCTATATACTATCTTCCAATGCACGTCGCTCGGAACGAACAGGCCGTCCGCACTAAGAAGGTTCAGTATCGTGGCCATCTCCCTTGCCCAGTTCCCTTCAAACGGCCCCATTTTGACTGACAGACGGAAAAAGTCCTGGCGGGCCCCTTGGTACAGTCTCAGGCTTGCCATGGATCTACATATCCGCACCAGCCTACTCCGGGTCCCGAAGACGGCCTCTACCATGAAGGGCGGCATGACACACCTCAGAGTTTTAAAGGGCTTCCGTACATTCCTTCTATCCCCGAGTTCCACCCGCACGTCAATCTCTTCCATCACCATTTCCACCAGCTGGCACGCAGCCCACACCACTTCCCGCTCGGCCTCCTTGAACAATTTGTATGGGAGTAATCCTAAGGCAAACTCTATAATCATGGCGTTTTCCTTTTCCTTAGACAAGTAGACCCATCCCCGGGCCTCCACGGTCCCCCGAAACTCTAAGTCCAGCAGGCTTGGCGCTAACCTCGTCAAACTAACCTTGGTCCATATTGTTTCGATCCATAGGAAGGCATCACTTTCGACCAGCATCACAGTTTGGTATGTCGGCTCCAGGTCCGTCCAAATTCCTTCTTCCGACATCACAACCGACACCCCACCCTTTACGTTTACCGGTATCTCTGGTCCGCCAGAGTAGGTTAGCGAGGGCAACCACCGTGGCATCTTGGCCTTCCCTAGTTGTCGAGTCCTGCTTTTTCAAAAAGAGCACCAATCGACCCTCGGTTAGGTCAGCCGTAGTCCTAGATGAGAATTGTTTTAGACCCCTCATCAAGGTCTTCCTAAATTTTCCCTTTGCCCATTCCCAAGTACCGTTGCCCTATCGTACCCGAAGTCAGTCACCATCCGCCGACATTCCTTCTCTTGGTTCCTTTCGTTCCGACTCCTATCCTTGCTTTTTTCCATCTTCTCTCACTCGTGCGAACTTAGATAGGGAGCGAGAATAAACTTAGAAAGCTTGGTTCCTTCCCACCAATCTCAAGCAACTTTACAGAGGGAGGCACGAAAGGAAAAATCAGGCAATCCTCGCACACAGGCCGGTCATCTCCTCACCGGCCTTTTCCCAAAAGTGGTCTCTCCACTGTTACTATCGGCAGAGTTTTATCCCGTACCTCAAGCACAGCTCACCCGTCACGAGCGAGGTACCCAGACTCCAGTGGGGGGACATCCTCACCTTCTTGCCCAAAATACCCCATCCCGTCTTGTCGCTCTTGCACACCCCCGTTGGCACCAGGAATCACCCCTGCATACCACGGTAGGGACGAAAGTCAGCCCTCCGGGCATTCACATCCATCGGTCCGATAAGAATCATCCTTTACCGCCGTACCGCGAGAGACTACTAATTGCCTCCGGAGCTTTCTCCGGGCCCCACATGCAACGGCCCCCTCCCGCCCGTCAACAGGTCAGGCCCCACCTGAGGAGATGTTTCGCATCCCGCTCGGGCAAGGCGCCGAGCCAAGCTCGGACCCATCCGGGCGAGAATGCTACTAATCAACCGGCGTGCCAACACCTGCCCAACGGTTCTGTGGCGTGACCTTGCACATGAAAGCCCGACCGCCTACCCGAAGAAAATGACGTTTCGCAACCCGCACCAGTCGGTGCAGACCCACCCTTTCCTTCCGAAATGGCAGGATGCTTAACTCCCCATTCATGCAAACCACAAGTCCCAAGTGGGACACACATAGTACAGGTGCCTTTCCCATGGTGCTCCCAACGCTTCCTACCCATGCCTCACGTTTTTCTCTCGGGACCGTGTGTGCCACTCACCCCTATTTTCCATACATCGTGCCCGGTTCCTTCTCGTGAGCATCTTCAAAGGCGAGCTAGTTTTCTTGGAGTCTAGCAACTCCCTTCATTCCCCTCATTTTCACTTGTGTGTCCGTTCTTAGGGCGGGATTGTTCCTTTTCGATTACCATTTTGTTCATATAAGGTTCCTTCAAGCATTTCAAGTGAAAGTGCAAGGAGTCCGCTGGGCTCCGAAGAAGAGAGAAGAAGGCACCCATGTCGGTCGGATCACTCCGCCGTGGGATTTTCATTGGCACCCGGCCTAGGCCGAACACCAACCGCCTACCAGGTAACCGGAGCCCTTCTTTCACATGAAGAGGAAGGGTCGACCTGCGGCTTGCCCAAGGCTTCCCCGGACTAGCGAACACCAACACCGGAAGGAGGACTAGAGTCACCCCACGAGGAGGTGGCTAAATAAGTGCACATCACACATGTTATTCCTCCAGGCCTGGCCTTGCCATGCGCCCAACCGCCCTCAAATCTGATTCTCTCCAGGGAATAGAGCATACACAAGTCCTCGTTCCTTCTCTTGAGTTATGTTCGCGCACATGCGTCGGGCGCCCCCCTCGAGATCGTATGGGTCAGTTTAACCCATACCCGGCGCCTCCACCATTTTTGTCGAGGCAAACCCCGGTAGACTTTCGAGCCTTCGTCGACCCCCGGGGGGTCCCATCTGGCTCGACCCGCCCAAGCTCAAGCTCAGGGCGTAGGTCATTCGTCCCGGGGCCACCCCCACCTAGTGCTCTGGTATGGATGGGGATGGGTCAATAGGGCGAGAGAGCTTGACATTGGGGATGTAGCCCAACCCTTGCATTGGGTGGTAGCCTCGCTGGTCAACTGTTGCAAGCGTAGATTCTCGATTCCCCGTTGTGTTCGCAAGCAATTGCTCCTTCCAATACTCAGGCAGTCAAGGGGGTTCATTGGAGATTTCTCTTCCTTTCGTGCGTAGGGCTAAGCGTTATCCTTAGGCCACGCACCATTTCCCTAATGTCACGACAGACTTCCGGCATCATCGGGGCGCGGCCATGCCGTCCTTCCCCTAAGCCGCTACCATTTCCTTTGTCTAGCCTATGCATTCCATTCACGATACCATTGCGGCCCTTAGTCTTTTCGGGCGTCCATTTTGCACGCAACAACCAAGGCACACTCGTACCATACAAAGCCATACCCCTCTCTTCCCTTCCCTTTCCTTCCCTTTGGCCCTCCTCTAGCTTGTTTATCCTCATCCCAATCCCGCTCAAGTCATTCCGAGCTACTCACCTGCATAATTCCCACACAAGGAAGGAACAACATTCATCCCCCCATTGGGGTCAACGCATCGCCTGTCCTGCAAGCCTAAGTCCTTTCCTCTTCCATGGTTCTTTCACCCTTTTCCTTTTTTTCCGCAATCAAACCATGCTCTTCCCTTAGTCATGCAGTCGGGGAAATGGTTGAGTCAACTGACCTTGTCAAATTCTCGTTTGCTTCGTTCTTTCCAAAGATTTTGCCTTTCCAAATTATCACAAGTCCTTCACTTCCTTCTTTTCTTTTCCCTTCTTGGTGGCGCAAGGGACCGGCTACCCTCCCGTTGCCCTCTTCTTCCACCAAGTGAGGGCTGCTTCCTTCTTATCGGTCGTCCCCTGGCAATATGACAAGTGAGGAGGGGGTTCGTACCAAGGTGGGGGAGATGGGGAGGAAAGGGTGGAGTTCTCTCGGGGTAAGGGCGAGGGAACGTCGGCGGAAGGGAGGGGAGAGGAAAAAGGTGTTAAGAAGAAGAGAGAGAGGGGGAGAGAGAGAGAGAGAGAGAGAGAGAGAAAGAAAGAGAGAGAGAGAGAGAGAGAGAGAGAGAGAGAGAGAGAGAGAGAGAGAGAGAGAGAGAGAG